GTGTGTGTGTGTGTGTGTGTGTGCGCGTGTGTGTGCGCGTGTGTGTGTGTGCGTGTGTGTGTGTGTGTGTGTGGTGGGCTGCAGGAGGGGGGCGGCTGCAGATACAGGAGGAGGACATTCAATCTGCATTCCGATTGAGCCTGAAGGGGGTCCGTCCTTATCATGTGCCGGCGTCCTGTGGGCATTAACTCCCTTGACCCCAAACCCCACCTCATCACCGGAAACACAAGCAGCCGGGGCCGATTTTGGCTCTGCAACCTGAACTCGGGGAGTAGCGCAAAAAAAACAAACCAGCTGCAGCCCAAAGATGTTTGGAGAGAGGGGAGGGAAAAGAGGCTGCTGGGTAGGACAACACACACAACACAACCAAGACAAACAAAACACTGTGCTGCAGGATGGGGAAGAAAAAGACATAAAGGCCGAGCCCACATACAACAGATGAGTGATTGGAGCTGTCAGAAAACACGCAGGGCAGGTAGAACAAGAAGGGGCCGCAGTTAAAAAAGACTGATAACAGGGTAATTCATTACTAAGGTGTGTGTGTCATATCAAAGTGTAATTTTAAAAAACACTTTGGGATGCAAGTAGTTGCTCATTTCCCTTTGCAAAAGCACTGGTTTCAAATCAAATACTGAGTGTTTCTCCACAGTTACAGACTAGTATGTAGTCAAATGGCATGTAAAGAAAGATGCCAGCTGAATGACAATGAAGACGAGGAGCAAACAGTGAGCGGGGTCGTGAAAAGTAGCACAAACTGCACTTAGAACCAGAGTGGAGGTTTCTTTTTTCCCCCCTTTTGCTGCTCACATTCCTCCCTGTTTTGCTCCATTTCTGGACTCTAATCTGCAGCAAAAAAACATGTCTTTTTTGGCCTGCACTTGAGACAGCGCCCCCCTTCTGTTGCAAAATGAAAAACAGCGACAGAGGAGAAAAACAACTTTGATTGGCAGTCCGGTTCAGCCAGCAAAAAACAGCACAATAAAAGTGGCCAACACTGAGAGGAACCGCAGGCAGGAAAACACTGCACAGTCCCCACCTGTCCTCACGGATTAAAGCCCTTTAACACCGCTCTGTCCTCATATATATATATATATATATTATTAATGCTCAGTACATTTCACTGCATTACTTCACAGCCACACAACAAGCTCACTGACACTTTTCTCCCAAATCTTCAGATGATGTCATCGTCACCTCCAGCTTTCACCTCGTCGCTGCAACAACCGAGCGCATTATAACATTAAACACTGTGTGGAGGGGGGGAAATATCAACAAATATCAACATATGTGGACGCAGATAAAGTGTCTTACAGCGCACAACAAAAGGCTTGAGTCTTCTCCACGTTGTGTGCGGGGTTAACATCACGGCGCAGACATTAAAAGATAAAAAAGCAGATTTATGTTAATATTTAATGTGAATTTACTGACGTTAACTTCACGTAAATGACTTTTAACGAGGCATTTAACAGCTGGAGATGGGGAGTATAAAAGGGTGTCTTTGTGGCGAGGAAGTGAGGCAGTTTAAATCCCTAAATTAAATGATTAAAACTATTATTTATCGCCTTTGTTGGTTGTGATTTAAGTTGACCCGTTAGCGCAGTTAGCTCTGGGCAGCTGAGTTGTGCTAACGTTAGCTCGCTAACTGTCGGTAAAAAGTTTACACAGCCAACAAACTGTTAACGGGCTGCTTTTATCTCTCTCTTCGACTGATAGCGACACAAACAGGTCGTGTTTAAAGCCGCACAGACAACAGCTCCGACCCGGCGGGGAGCGACAGCTGCTGAGGCTTTTCTTTAATATAAAATAATGAATGAATGAGCGTCGCAGCGCAGTTAGCCGCTAGCTTTAAAACATGAATTAAAACTAACTTGTCCTCAATCTTCTGCTCTACTGAAGCTTTCAACATACCTGTTTCTGGACTCGCTGGCACTGGGTTCTCAGGGGGTACTCCATTTTATTCGCACAGATGATCATTTTCCAAAAACAAAGTGCTGCTACTGCATGGATGCGGCTCTTGTCTGTTCTCGGTGCTCTCCACAGCGAGCGAACAAAGGCAGAGAGCTGCCGCCGGGCTGCAGCTGCGGTGGGTCGGGCTGAGGCTGCACTGAGAGAGGACACAAACCTTCCCGGAGCCGAGCTGACAGCTCCAGTAACAGTGTGCCCAATCAAAGCACAGGAGGCGGAGCTGGTAGACGAGAATACTAATGAACATCTGCAAACAACAGCGCAGACACAGAGGCAACGACAGGCCCGGGGGCAGACAGTGGGTCGGGGGCAGACACTGGGTCGGGACGGCTACTCTAAACTTAAATGTACTCAGATACAGTTAGTAACTTCATTGGAGGTGTCACAGTATGTGTAGTTTGACTGCAGTGGCACAGGAGGGGGACTGTGAGTCAGTGGTATGCAGTTAGAGCAGGGGTTAGGATCCCAGTGTGCAGAAAATATTCAACATACATTAAATTACCACATAAACTGCACACTAACATGTCTGCAAAGGGGAGACTTGTAGGTACCTAAAGGGACCATTTGTATTCAGATATGTTGAGGTCAGAGGTCAAGGGATCTCTTCGACAATGGGTATGACAGTTTTTCTGTTATTTAGCCCCCTATATAGTAAGACAGCGCTGTAACTGAGCCTCTGAAAGACAGTGTGGAGTGGAAGAGGGAAGGATAATAGGGGGACACCCCTCTGGAAACACCCCTGACCATATCCAAGTAACATAACTTAGATTACTTTCCAGTACTTTCTGATTACGTCAACAACAAATATGGAAATAAAAACAAGTAAAAAGTAATATGTGTAAGACAACAGATGAAATATGACCTCTGTTCAGTGTGATTTTAAAAGAAAAACTTTCCCAGTAAGCAAATTCAGGCCGCAGCCTATAGAACATATTTCACAGCTGGAGGACGTAACTGGCACTTTACTGTGTTGTTGTTCCTTTTTCTGCTTTATAGACTGAATAAAGGTGAAATTTCCCTCCAGTGAAAGCATCTGTTTCACTAGCGGTCCTGATGATGAACTGACGACTGTAAGATCAGCAGTGGTTTCACTCCAGACCTCATGTGAGACTCATGTACGTGGTGTTATATTGTACTTTATTTTAAATAATCTTAATTTTAACTAAAATGAAACTGAAATCTGATAACAGCTTTTCCACCCTGTAACTTCAATGGTTTACAGTTACCTTTTTTATTGATTACGTAACTCGGTAACATGTAATCTGTTACTTCCCAAAGCCTGCCAACGTCTGACCAACAGGATACTGGTCCGGAAGCACCTTTCTTTGTGTTTGTGTCGGCTCTGTTTGATGCTAGCTGTTTAATATACTGCACCAGTGAGTCAGGCTGCGCTCACACTGCAGGTCAAAGAGACTCAGGTCTTTAATGACAGTGTAAACAGCACAAATCACATCCAATCCGAGTTTCTTGGTTCTGATTTAGTCTGATTCTGTGCAGTGTGACCTCAGCGTGAACACTCATATCAGAAGTCATGTGACTCTAGATTGACATTCATCATGCGGTTCATTTCAGGACCGAGACTTGTTCAGACTGTAATCTGATACAAGCCACATGTGAAAATGTGTCCTGGTAAACACCCGTGTCTTTTAAACTTCATGTCTCCAGCTTCTTATACAACTTCTGTTTCCTTCTTGTCTCAAATGCCGAACTGAGATTTACTTTCAGAGACTTGATTAAGCTCAAATGATAACAAACAAACCAATATCGTTATTATTTATTAATCTGTCAATATTCTCAACTAAAGGACCAGTGTGTAGGATTTAATGGCAACTCCTTCACTTCACCCTCCACTTCCAAGCACAAAGCACAAACTACGGTGGCAGCTCTATCTACTGTTTGGTTTGTCCCTTCTGGGCTCCTGTAGAAACACTGCAGACTCCATCGAAGGCCCCGCAGCGTCTGTATAAAGGGCTCTTTCTGAGGTAATAAAAACATAACAATTCCTATATTCAGGTGATTATACACCAATGAACACATACCTATGAATGTTATTTTACATTTCTGTCAATACGTCCACCTAAATGTTACAAACTAGACCTTTACACTTTTACAACATCAAAGATATTCTGTTTACTGTCATAGAAGATTAAAGAAACCAGAACATCTGAGAAGCTGAAATAAACAAATTTGGTCATTTTCTATTAAAAAAATTATTTGTTTAATCAATAAATTATTTTAATTGTTGATTAATTGATTGTGTGCAGCACATTGACTGCTCTCACAGGCTGAGTCCTCCACGAGAGAAATAAACTGACCTTCAGGTATAAAACTGATTTAATGCCACAGCACACAACAGGTATTGACAACAGTGTGCGAGTGCGACTAACTTTGTGGTTACAACAAACAGTTTGGGGAAGTTTCAACATGAAAGAGCCTCTATACACAAAGTCAGGTCAAATAAAGAGATTGTGTCCCAGTTTTGGTGGCGGACTCGTCTTACTTTCACACAGATGAATTTAATAAAAATGTGTCTTATACAGTCGTGCAAGCCTTAAAATCTCAATCATCTTGCTGTCATCAAGTCTTTTAAAAGGTCCCAAAGGCAAAGACAATATGTCTCATTCATCTAACTAAACACACAACAAGCATTGCTTACAGTCGCTCTTGTCACGTCCACAACTGACCACTGCATTCAGGCGGGTTTGATTGACCTTCTGCTTTGACCCAGTTGTTACTTCATGTATGGACTTATTCAGTCCACTCGTGTCTTGATGAATGGGACGTTTGTTCTTTATCAGAAATCTTGGAATTGAATTGGTTCAAATCAGGTTGTTTTTCCTTCTGAGTGCAGGAATCATGACTTTCATATCAATTAGTTTCACTGAGTTATATCTGTGTTTTTGTACTTTCTTATTAACTCCTTAAGATAATTAAGATACAAGCTCATGAGTTGAGTGTGACACACATTATTTGTACAATATCACCATGTAAATGTCACTTCCAATGTTAGTGGTCGCTCATCCTCAAGAAATTAGCTTGTTTTTTCTTTCTGAGAAGATGTTTGATGAAAGGTTTCGCTTTTTTCTCTGGAAAAAACGTCAGTCGTGTGAAAGTGGAACTGAAAACAAATCTGAACTCAAGAATGCAAAAACGTACTATAACTTACTCTCAGTAACAACAAGGCCTCTTATATTTCTTCTCTAAACTTACTTTTAATTTGAAAGCACCAGCTCAAACCCAGATCTAATTCTTACACTGATTGATGTATTTGCAAATGAATATCTTGATTAATGATGATATCCACTTACAGAAGATAAAACCAGATCTAATGTCTAAATGACGTGATGAAGTGTTGAGGCCTTGTGCACTCCCAGTGGGGGGAGAGGACTATATATATATATATATATGTATACGTGTATATATATACACACATACTAGACTGTGTGAAGACAGATACATTTTCACTACATTAAGGAAAGGCTTCCTTGGCTTTGATGCATTGAACTTTAATGCAGCGACCCTAATAACTCACGCAGTGCGTAAGTTGAAAAATAAAGCAGACTTAAAGAAGCTCTGGAGGGGAAAACAAGTGACACTAGATTTGAGTGTCACTCTCTATTAGATTAACATTCAGTTTGCACAAACATCATGTGATTTACACTGGAGAACCAGTCCAAACCAGATAACTACAGCTTAATTGATTCAGGGGAAAACACTGAAAGGTTGTGACTTTGTCCAGAATATCTGCAATCAGGACGTTTCAGTCAGGAATTAATCTTTGTCCTAGATTCTAGTATTCCAGGGCTAACGACTGTTTTCATTATTGATTAATAGTCAAAATGTCAGTAAATACTAAAAAACTGTGACGTCATCAAATTGCTTCTTTTAGCCAACAGACCAGAAGATACTCCATGTACCATCACATGAGACCAAGAAAGAACTAAATCTTCACATTTGAGAAACTGGAACAAGAAAATGTTTCTCATATTTGCTTAAAAAATTATCCAAACAATTAACTGATTATCAAAGTAGTTGCAGATTAATATTTAACAGAGATATTGACTGAAAAACACGTCAGAAACAGCCAATAAATGTATTAATTACGTGTTAATTACACGTTGTGTCATCAGTGAATTTGGCTGGTTGTGGTACTGAACAGATTATAATGCTATCATTTTAGTGTTAGTAACAGTTGTGTTATGTGGCTTGACCCCTTTAAAGTAACCACTTCTTTAATTCAGCTGATGTGGTACAACAGCTGTATGATGTACCAACAGAACCAGAAACTAAACCTTTTATACCGCATTAGTTGCCCTCCTCAGAAGTTGTTTTTAACCTGCTTTTTACATCAGCTGTGAAAAGAAAACGAACACAAAGTCATCTGTATCCACGGGTTTCATATCACAGTAAATCTTCCTTTTCCACCGAAGTTCTTTGAGAAACAAAGAGGGACTTTCCTAAGAAACAAATATGACAGTCTTGTAGTTCATTCCTCTACAATAGATTCAACACTTTATATTGTCTTTATCAAGATGCCTGAAATACCATCTCCAACTGTATATATTATATATAACTATAAGATATATAATATATATACAAATGAGCACCTACAGTATCATGACTAAATGAAATCTGTTAAACATGTTCTGCCACAAACATTATTTACTTTTTATCTGGTTTGTAAACTGATTAAAGTTCTCCAGCCTCTGCAGTAAAAAGTGGACAAAATGTTTCTTTTGTCTGACTCTAAACAGTCTTCAGAAGTTGAACAGATTGACTATGTGCTGCTTTTTACTCATCATTTCCTGTTTAACAAAACCGCTCCTGGTGAAGAAACTGTTAACTGTAAATGATGAATCAACAGTGTTATGCCAGACAGTTGGTCTATACAGATAATGTAGAAGTGGTTATTCTCTACCAACTGAACAAGACTGGAAAATGTCCTTTGTCTTCAAAGTAAATAAATAAAAAAACAACCTAATTTCAGATCTAATTTCCCAGGCTGTTCAGGCACATACAGTTTGTACCTCTGCTCTGCAGGTTAGCTGATTTATGGCTCTCATACACTGATCACTGAAGCAGATGGTGCTCTTTTCTGCAGGGATACGGATCCACTTGGTGTAAAGAGGAATTCTACTTAAAACATTAACATGACCTGATACCATATCAAAGACCTTCTGTTAAAAATGTCTTTAAGAGTTGAAAATCCACCATATGTCTGCATCTTGCCAGTTTGGACGGGGAGAAATGTGCTGGGAGGACAAATTACAATGCAAGGTCATAGATTTAAACATTATCTCACCCTTGTGGCAAGAATTGGTACAACTGGCCTCACTGTGATGCAGCAAAAACTCAAAAAAAGGCATTTTGTCTCCTTTTTGTGGAAATCAGAAGGAAGTGTTGTGAACTGATATTTAGAGAGGCACATTAAAGTAGGTTCAACTATTTATATTTATTTTAATACTTGACACGTTCAGCTGGATATACAGTATGACCTTTATTTACATTTTATGTGTATTTTATTTTGGTTTCCTCCCTCATGTGCTCAGCTAGAGTGTCTGTGGCACTGAGATTACCCAGAGATAGAAAGAAAACAAACAGTCAGAGCCGCTAATAAGTACACCGTCTGCACAGTCGACTAATAGGCAGATGAATATATAATAAAAATTTCCTGATAAGATAAACTATTTTAGCTATTTTTAGAAATGGCTGACACTTTCCATTCATAGCACAATGACTAAAAGCGATGCCTCGTCGTAAAACGGAATCGTAAATTGTTTTGTCTAAACTTAGTAGCTTGCATTAAACGTAACCTTTCCATTCTGTCTCTTTAGATTTACAAATTGGCAAAGACTTGACTGCTGAGGTCAACGCTTCAGCTCGGACAAAATTCACAGATTCTATAAAATATTGACAAACTCTGATCATTGTCTAGCTCAACAGTTTTTGAGGGGATCCACATCGACTAAGTGGTTCTTTGTCTTTGCTGCACTGAACTGATGCAGCCTTTGTTCCATGTCAAAGTGCAGCTACGCCTTCAGCTGTGTATTATTCGACTCAAGCGCCTCAGGCTGGTAAAGTTTTCTGTTTCCTTCACTTGTATGAAACCTTTTAAAAAACTAAATCTAGAATAAACATACAAATAATTCGCAGCACACATGAGGAGTTGACATATATTATTCTCGCATACAAAAATAGAAAACACTCAAATGTTCAACAGCGTCATAATCATAAGCAACATCATCAAACTTTAGTGTAACAGAAAACATCCGTCCTCTAAACACCGAGAGCTTTGTCCAGGAAGTTAGCAAAGTGCTTCGGCTCTCCGGGATGAAAGGGTAGAAGAACAGAGAGATCCATGGTCCTCACGGTTTCTGTCAGGGTGCTGAAAGATTGAAAAATAAAGTGTTACTGTTGTTTTACTTAATAAACTCACATGTATGTAACTGTACATGTGGGAAACAAACACCTGCATGTGCAGTACAACAAGTGTGAGTCCATGTGTAGCGCCCTGGCCAGCTCCAGCTGGTGGTTGTCCATCAGCTTGTCATTGACAACAACCAGCAGAGGTTTGCCCGCACCCAGCGCCTCCAAACAACTTCCTGCCCCTGAGGAGGAAAACAAGAACCTTATTCATGACTAGAGCTAAACTGAGCCTGGGTTTCTATTCATGGAGGTGAACAACACCATGACACAGATACGGAAGAAAAAAAGAAGCATCATCAGCATTTTTCCTTTTCTTGTTTGTTTGTAGGTAGTTAATGTAGCATGAATCGGAAAATTAAACGGAGAAAACAAACAATACCAAACGTGACCAGGGACAGTGTGACGGGTCCTCTGAGACAAGGATGTTTCTGAAAGTAGTCGCAATTAATTTGTATTAAACTGGATCAAATTGCAAAACTGTTAATATGATTCTTTAGTACATATTGGTCTTCTCCTCCTCAGATAAGATTTGGCCTCGTTAACAAACACTTGCTGATCATCCTGTTCATCCTGATCAGCCTCTGTTGCCCTCATTTAGTCTCTGTGAAATCATTAATCATCAGTTTTCTGTTTAATGTTGGCACACTGCTGATAGACCTGTATTTGCTTTTGCTTTGAATTCAAGGCAGGCGATGAACATGGAAACTACCCGATTTGGCTGATGCTTTTAATACTTATTAATATGTATTAATTAAAACCTAATAAATAGACAGTAGTTTGACTTATGGAGCAGCATCAGTTGAGTGTGATTAAATAAAAAGATAAATCAATATGTAGCCACTGTTTATACACTGAGAGGAGTAAGTGTGCTCAAGGTTTTTGATGTTTTACTCACCAGCGTGGCTGACGACGAGGTCGGCCTGCCTGATGTCTGCTGCTATAGAGTCTTTGAATCGGAAAGCCTCCAGTCTGATGTTTGGACAGCTGTCAGCAGCAGGAAGAAGAGATCCTCTCCCAACCTGGAGAACCAAACGCTCATATCCACGAGCCTTTAAAGCCTGGGGGGAGAAAAACAATAACGTATTACTAAGCTACTATTATGTTAGTGCCAAGTGAAGTTTCCCCCCTACAGAGAAAAAGCTGCACCTCTGACGACTCTCTTAATACATTTAGAGGCATCAACGTTTTAGTTTCATATTTCCTGATCTGTGGCTGTTGTCAAATCTCAATGTTACCCAACTAGCATCTGCACAGTATAACGTTCTAACCTTTTAACAAACACTTTTCATAATATTTAAGTAGCTTTAAGGTTTTAAATATTATCTGTGTCAGTTTGTTGCAGCTTCTCACTGAGGATCTACGTTGTTCACACTGAGCGGCTGCAACACGCCATGAAATTAATATTCTGGATATCCTGTTCATCATTTTATACTCATTTCTCAGTTTAAACAATATTTGCTTGTTAAGGTGTTACACAGTTAGAAGGAGGAATTAACACAATATTTACATTTTGTTCAGAAACAGAAACAAGACGTGTGCCAACAGGTGTCTATTAAACTGCAGCTTTCAAACAAAAACATGAGAGAGCACAAAATGTTTATAAAAAGATTTAATTCTTTTATTTAGAGACGTTTTTTACATCACTTCTTTTTTTCCACGTGCAAGCGGCTCCTCATTTGTCCTTGACGTGTGTACTGACAGAGCTCTCTTAAGCTGACGGCGAGAAAGACGCACATTTGATTGATTGATTGATTTACTGTTACAGTCAGCAAGGACCTTGACCTGAACCAGGATGGGGAGACCACAGTACTCTCTTAAATCCTTGCACTGGATATGTGTCTCTTTAAGGTCCTAATTTTAGTCTTTAAATATCTGTGTGACCCTGTTTGAAATAGACATTTGATCATATCCAGTCAGATCACTCAGCTTGTTGCAGGGTAACTTACCACCATCCCCATTCAGTCCAGGGTCGGTCGTCAATTACAACAGACCTGATGGACTGTAAGACAATGTCAAGGTGCTTCATAACCTTCTGCCTCTTTACTCGTACTTGTTTAACCTGGTTAAGTTTTATTTTAAAGTGTTTCACCGTGTTGTTTTTCTCCATTTGAGATCATTTCCTTGAGTATTTCCATTTTATGCTACTTTATACTTATACTATGTTTTAGAGGGAAATATTGTACTTTTTACTCCACTACATTTATTTTACAGCTATATTTACTTAGATTTTCCATAAAGATTACATGAACATTTTATAAAATATGATGCATTTTTAGAGCTTTAACTACCCAACAGTATATGAAGTAGTGAAAATTAGCTAAATTAACAACATTAGAATTAGAGCTGCACAATATTGTGATTCAGGATTATCTGGGAATGATCATTTATGCACCACAAACTGAGTTTTCACTAAAAGAAACCATTAAAATCATGATGATGTGACATTTTTGGGAGACTGTACCAAACAAACATGTTATCTTAAATCTGGAGAAGATCTGTAGACCAGAGCACCTCATCAGTTTACCTTCATCAAAACAATACAGCTCTTGTGATGTCCATAATATTTGGATTAATTGTGCAGCCCTAATTGAAATACCACATACACATGATACATGAATAATGTTCCAATAATATAACAGTGACAGGGGCCATTCTGCATTGTGAATACTTCTTTAACTTTAACTACATTTTGTTGCCTAATGTTTTGAAAGCAGGACTGTTTTTATAGTGTGGTGTTTAATTTAGGTGATTTGAATACTCATAGTGATTATATATAGTTGGTCCTGTCAGAGTAGCAGCAGGTATGCAGTATGGACAAGGAAGTGTGGATTAAAACCAACCTGGACGGTGTCTGAAGACGTGATGCGTTCAATGAGCTCATCAAAGCTCGTAGTGCCGACGGTCACAAACACCGTCTTCATGGCTGCCCGAGTAAACCTGTCAGTTTTATAGGTTTGTAAGTATTTTTAAACACTTTACAGCCTCCCCTCACTGCCCATCTTCACCCGACTGCCGCAGACCCTAACAGTCACTTCCGCTTCTGACCGCTGACGTCGCCGCGCCGACTCTGACACACGTGCTGCCACCTAGAGGTCTGGAGCTGTAACTTCATTCACACTGCCACTGTGTCTGAAAATACCTGTTTAAATTCATTTTTGAATCCCTTTGAGCTTCATGCACAGCAGCAAAAATGCTAAAATCCTTTAATTTAAAGGTCCAGTGTGTAACATTTAGGAGGATTTGTTGGCAGAAATGGAATATGATGTTTATATGTATGTTTTTTTTAGTGTATAATCACCTGAAATTGGGAATGTTTGTTTTATCTACAGATAATGTGGGTCAGAATGGACACACCAAACTCTGGCTGTAGATTGGGCCTTTTTATTTTATTGGTGATTTTATTTGACCTGAAGAGGAAGAGGCGCCCACTGTGGTGGAAGTTAAACTATGATGATCTGCGTGCTCTGACTGAGCTGACGGTGATTGAATATATTCACAGATCCATGATTCAGTCCATTACAAACCCATTTCTCACAGTTTCCTGGGGCATGTCCCTCCAGATGTGCCATATGACGCCCAGTCATTGGTTTCGCCCCCTGGGGCACAGGACCTGCCCTCTAGCCTGGTCCCTTGAGTGACAGTGTCTCTGCTTTGTCTTTTTCAAAGAGTTGCTGTACGTTCAATTGAAGACAAGCGCGCATACAAAATACAGCATATAAATCTGGGCAGTGTGTGATGTGAAGACTTCCTGTACCTGGGACATGCAGGTGAACACCAGCAGACCTGCTGACGGAGCTCCTCAGAGGAATTAGGGCATTAAAGTTTGTACTTGACACTGACAGCTGGGCTCTGGGAGGACATTATCATTGCTGGTAATGTTTTGACTTCAGACGCTCTCGGTGACTCACATGAACCGAGTGAGAAGTCTAGGAGACTTCTTTAGATGTCCAGGCTGCATAAACTATAACTCTTTCAGCCTTTCAGTGACAACATTTACAGTCGTACACATTTGATTTTACTTCATACTGATACTCATTGACCTACTTTAGAAGTAAATATTGATCTTTTACAATCCATGAGGTGAATTTAACTGCTGTAAAATCACTGGAGCAACAGTTGTGTTGTTAAGAGATTTTAGACAGTCACATGGAAACATGGACCGTTCTCTCTTTCTTAAAATGGCTCAAGTTATAGTTTATCCTACCTGCAATAAAAACTCTAAATTTAAATACTAAATACTTTTAGCTCTTTATCTTTTCCTTTTTTGTATTGTTGCAGTTTGCTTTTATCACACGACCCTTGTGCACTGTGTTGTGTGTTAAAGTCTTTAGTTGTCTTATTGCTTTATGGGGATTATACTTTTTGCTGCCTCGCTGCTATTGCCCTTAAACATATCTGAACTCAACAGTAGTTTCTAGTTACTTTTCAGACGAAGCTTAAATATACAAAACCTACAATGAGCTCACAAAATGCAATCAGTTAACTAAACAGTGCAAGTTATAATAAGCTCCAGTGAAACCAGTTGCAAAATAAAACTCATCTAATCTAATCACTAATCATGAATCACTTAATAATCCAACTATATAATGGGTAAGTGAACACTCTTACTTTACTTGAATACATTTTACAACACCTCTGATGACACTGATACTAAAATATTGAGTGCAGGGTCTTTATGGTAAACACATTCAACTTTTTAACCTGAAAATCACTAAAACCATGTTTTACTTATGGAGGACCACAAGTGTCGTGTAAATAGTTGTGGAGCAGTTTCATTTAATACATGAGTTTAATTAATTAATCCATAAATAAATACACTAAATGATTGTAATTCAGTTAATTTATATACTAAACACATACGTCATTGTGAGCACAGACTAACTTCCTTAGGGGTTGTAATGTTTTTGTACAGGGTGAGTCTGTTTCACTGCAGCTTGCTGGTTCCTGCTGCACACTGCAGGCAGCTGATAGCCTGGTGGTCTGTGGTGGTCTTTGTTTGAAGACACCTTCGTCTCTCTTGTGGTGTGGACAGAAATAAACCCAGCAGAAACCAGAATAAGACACCCAAAATGAGCTTGGAGGAGCTGTAGTGATCCTGCTGATTCAGAGACGTCAGCACCCACCCTCACCCCGACCCCCACCTCACAGAGCGACTGCTGCCAGCTCAGTGAAGGATGCACGGGCTCGGCGAGCACCCAGCAGCTCCACCTGACAACCGCAGAGCGAGAGGAAGAAGAGCCAGCTTTGTGCTCCGTGGGATGTGAAAACTACAGCAGTACCATTTGTGACAAATGCAAGAAGAATAAAAAAACAATCTTGCAAAAGCACACGCCAACTCGACTGCACTGTGCCAGTCTGGTGCATATAAAAACACGCACACACACACACGCACACGCACGCACACACACACGAAGCGACGAGGAAGTGGAAAGTGTAGCCTGTTTCTGAGAGCTGGTATTTTTAGATTATGTAGCTTCTGAAAACTTTAACCCATTGTGTTGTTTGTCAGATATGACCACAAACAACACGTTGATATGTAATAGGTCGCAGTGCTCTACATATACCAGAGTCACTGTAAAATATGTATAACATATATATATTTGAGTCTGTAAGAGTCAATGAACTCAAAATTACATATTTTTTTGTTATTTCTCTGCCTGCTAGAGCCTCATAACTATATAATCAGTTATTGCACAGCAAGAAGAGTATGGCCACTCACACTAGAATTTTATTAACAATTACAGCAACCAAAAACTCTTTTAATATATATAATATATACATATGGACGTGTGAGTATTGAGTTCATAAGACGAGCAGTGCACTGATGCTGCACTAAAGGGCCACTCAGGGGCACAAAAGGTCACGTGAGTATTGTTTTAAGCCTAAGGGATTTATTTTGGGCCAGGCGGGGGAAACATTGACTTTGTTGATACGGCAAACTGTTGCTTATTTACACACCCAGCAGTTACGAAACAACATTATCATTAATTTGGAGGCATGTTTGTGTTTATCTGGTGAATGTGAATCAAATATTTGCTCTTCTTTAAGCTCCTATTTTTGGTCTCCACCAACTCCTGAGGGAAATATCTGCTAAATACTTCAGTATGTTCACCAGCTAATCATTAACTGTCTGCTGTTTGGTGCTGAGCAGGTAGTGTACGCTGGGTTTTAGAGAAAACAGGCGACGAGTGAAACTATACAGACTGGGTTCCTTTCACATAAATAAAGAATGACTTTCAATGTCTGTGTTTCTATAGAGCACTCATTGTCAAACTATGGTACCTGAGCTGCCTCTGGTGGTACGTGGAGAAATCTCTGAAATAGTTCTTTTAAAGATTAAATAAATACATGTTAAAACCAAATACTATCAAAATAATAGGCTCAGCCTACGCTACTGTATTTTAACGTTGGTCATAATGGTGGTATTTGGAATATGTTTGCTGAGGTGGTACATGGCGTAAGGAGTTTGAGTAACACTGATATAGAATTGGATTGGTTTCCGAGAGTGTGAAGCACTGCACCTGGCTAGTGGCAAAAATGTGCTGTGAAAAAGGCAACAACTGAACTTGGCTGATTTTGTTACGAGTTCGTGAAACTCAAATTATAAGATCGAGGTCAGAAAACTAACATTGGTTACACAGAACTTGCTGTGTATCAATCCAAAGATAATACTGTAACTGAAAGGCCATCATGTTTATTACCAAAAGATGACAGCCGTTTATCTTTGAAGGAAATAAAAGAGACATGAGACCAGGGTGCAACAGAAATTATTTAAGGCTCTGTTAAATCCTCAGCTTCAAAAAACAAAAACCCAAAAGAACAATGTACCATATATCCTGAAAAGTCACAAAAAGCAAAAACTAGTATAAAATTAAATGTTTAAAACTGGCTACCCATGTCATTAGTTTTTAATAAATAGGTTACTATAAGAAAAAGAAAAATACAAAGTTAAATCTGATTAACTGTGCCAGAACTTTTATCAAACCACAATGCAGCAAGTTATTTGATGACAAGAAATCAGCGTCTCCTGAATTTAAAGCGACACACGTCATGTAGTCAAACACAAATATGCACTGTGAGCTTCCTTTGGTCGTTCCAAAATCATTCTCCCACAGAGACTCCTCGAGGAAACTCAAAATGGAAGACCTGCGTCCATGTGATTCATGCCTTGTAAAGACTGACAGAATTCCGGCTAAAAACAGTAAAATGGCTCTTTCTTATCACTTCAAGTTGATTTAGTAGAACATTTTCAATTTTGAGCATGCATGTTTTCAGATGAGTTTAGCTGCTTCAGGCTACTGCGATGATAAAAAGCTGAATGTTTGAACCACGGGGCGGCGGCGGCGGCGGCGTGGACTGGCGGATAAGGTGACCGTCCCTTGATGAAAATGGTGCCGGTTTAATCCACATAGTGGTACATCCTGTCTAAGTTTCCTGAAGCTAAAAAAGGTCAAACTGTAGCACACACTCTGCGGTTTGTGTCACTTAGGAGAACTATTTTAGACAAGATTTTCAAAATAAAGCGAGCAGTATACCTGGGCAGCCAACTGGTTGAAGTATGCATGCTTAAAAGTCAAAATGTTTCAATAATATGAAATACTTTGTCAAATTCCAAACTTTAGACATAATACAAGTAATAATAAAGTATATAATAGTGATTAAAGCAGCTTTAAAAAGAAGCTGCAACTTCACAAACACTCCTGCTTATTATTTCAGAGATACTTCCGACTAAAAGGGGGGAAAATAAAAGACTGAAATTCACAGATGGCCGTTTTCGCTCATTACAAGTCTGTTTGTTGACTCCGTCCTGGGTCATTGCAAAGGCCGTTAAGGTTGCAGCAGAAACGTCTTTGAACGGTTATGATATCAAAAATAGGGCCGACGTCTTTCCTGTCAGATGATCTGTGACAGACGGTCAGAAACCACCTCGAACAGAACGTTGTTACCAGCAGTGGTAAGTTTGTGTCAGTAGGATCAAAAGTCGTGTTGTCCCCCTGGTTCATCAAAGTCCTTGTGGTGATCCAGACAAATGATGTATCTTTTGGTTTGTTTTTTTTAAAGAAAGAGAGAAAGAAAAAGACAAAACAGGTTATTAATACAACAAGTTTAAATGGCTAAAAGTAGCATCGTCAGTGTGAGCAGTGATTAACACAGGCAAACATCTGCCACAGAATCTAAAGTGAACTTCCTGTTTTGGAACATAATTTCTTTTTCAGGATGTCACATCCTCTTTCTTCGCTCACTGTCTGTCTGCCTCGTTACTCGCTACTCTTCGGGGGTCTTTTCCCCTCCCGGCCCCGAGCTGCTCATACAGTTGTGTTCTTCATGCCACATACTTTCTGCGATCTTATGATAACAAGCTAAACCAACGGTTTGCGCGGAGCGGCACCACCCACTCGTCTTTCTCACTTCCAACAAACCTCTCCTCTCCCTTACGCTGCACTCAAACGCCACACAGTCATCCATGTGTCACATTTCTCCTCAGCTTGTGAACCATTTTTACACAGGCACTGCAGGGACATTTTATCACATTCTGTAAAATTAGTGAGCGGCCAACTGTGCTGAGTTCTCTGGCACAGCCCGAGTACGAAGGCAAAGGAAGGCTCGTACCTCTCTCCTCACTGTACCACACAGGCTGTGCAGCACTGTTCCTGCTTCTCCGGCAGCGTGGAATAATTCATCTGTCGGACGATCTCTGCAAACAGCTCGTCCACCATAGTCTTGCTCTTGGCAGAGGTTTCAATAAAAGGGCAGCCCCACTCTTGAGCCAGAGCTCGTCCATCCGACCCGGCGACCTCACGCTCAGATTCCAGGTCCACTTTGTTCCCGACCAGGATCAGCGGCACCTTCTCGAAGCGCTTCACTCGCACTATTTGGTCTCGCATTGGTCTGATGTCCTGAAGATGAAGAGGGAGAGGATCTTAGTGTGTGGTTTGACAAGAACCAGTGTGCCAATATTTTCATACTACAAACTTTATCTTAGCAGATTGTCAATGCAGAGCAGTTTGATAAAGTTATAAAACAGTCAGCATACTTGCATTAAGTTTGTAGTGCACTATTGATGACAGGATATAAAAACTAAATGCAGACGTACAACAATAAAACGTTTTAATAATCAAGTATGGTGGTCAAACAGCTGATTTTAGTTTACAAATAAAGAATAATTCTCCTTTTTCTTTTTTATAAAGTTTAACGACACTACAAAGTCCCTGTTTCATTTTGGTATTGCATCATTTCCTGTTAGTAGAAAACATTTAAGCACTTTTTTTAATGTATACCAACAGTAAACAATTACATTACATTACATACTATATAGAATTATATGTAGTATCGAAATTAGGATTACAGCATATATTACTTGTTGATACACTGTCTGACAACTTCATCATAAGTAATGCTGCCTTTATTAAACCTGTAGATCCTGTAAACCTTTAATTTACTGTTTCTGTTCATTCAAGTTTTCTGTTCAACATAGTTTGGTCAGATTGAAAAGTTTTGGTAAAGAAGAGGCAAAGATGTGTCCGATACTTTACGCTGTTATCTTCCTATTTTAGAGGCACTGTTTTCCTCTACTGTCACAAACACTGTTTAACAACCCAGTTACCACAGAACCGAGAATATAATGAAGAATGAAACAAACAAACACCACAGCAGCACTGGCTTTAATGTCGCAGGGCTCCGGAGAAGCAAACACACCACATGTATGAACCACAAGTCAAACCCCACATATGCATCCACCCTGGTTCAGTCCAGGTGTGTTCAGGTACCTGGAAGCTCTGCTGGTTCACCAGGCTGTAGACCAGGATGAAGCCCTGCCCGTTCTTGATGTACAGGTCTCTCATGGAGGCGAACTGCTCCGTCCCCGCCGTGTCCAGGATCTCCAGCACGGAGGGCGACGAGTCCACCTCGATCTCCTTTCGGTAGAAGTCCTCGATGGTCGGGTCGTATTTCTCGATGAAGGTGCCGGTGACGAACTGGACGGTCAGCGCGGACTTCCCGACGCCGCCGCTGCCCAACACGACCACTTTGTACTCTTTCATGGGGCCGGTGGAGGCTAACGTAGCAGCTAAAC